AACAACTTCAAAAAAAAATTGAAACTTAATTTTGCCATTGAACAAACATATTCAGAAACTCGATTTTATTATCATATTTGTAATTAAGTACGAATGTTTTTCTATTTATTTCTTTTACTTATAATTTATTTAATTTTGCTACGAATTTCTGTATTTTATTTCATTTTAACTCTAAGTTACATTTCCTTGGTTTATTATAGTTTTTGCCTTTGATATATATATGCATATATTTTTTTTTTTATTGTATTGGATATATGTTATGAATGTGCCTCACTCAGTCAAGTGTGGCAAAATGTATTATTTCTCAATAAACAGATTTAAAAAAAATTATCATATTATCTTACGATTCAAGTGGAAATCAAACGGGTGTTGATGAGTTTTTAGTATCTAATTAAATAGACCAAGTTTGCCGAATTCCAGATTGAAAACACTCCAATCCGAGAATGTCCGTAAATAAAATATTTGTAGGTTACGATGAGATGAGGTTATTTAATAAGTTTCAACCTGATGATAATAATTTGATAAAAAGAGGTCTGTGCCACACGGACTAATAGACCCTGAGACCGAAACCTGGCAGGAGAGGCAATATATCATACATCCAGGATATTTTACAAGAAAAAAAAATATGATTTAGCTAAAGAGCGATATTGGGAAATATGGCAGACCTTGATGGACCACTCTCTTGTATTGGGCCAGGGCGACTTCCACTCTTCCAGCCTACTTGCAGTGTCGCAAGCTGTCCTCCTTCCAGGACAAACTATTCCAGAAATACGAAACTCATTTCCTTCTTAGTCAATTGGCAATGTCCGAAGGGCGTTGTGGGCAATAAATTATTTTGCTTGGTCATAAGTCACAAATGTTTTTATTTGGCAAAGTATAGGCATAGCAGCATACAGACAATCCTTACAATTTATATTTATTATAATTAGGGACTAATTTAAATTTATTAAAATAAATAATTAATTATGTAATAGTAGAAAAATATATATTATTAGTGATAGAATAAATAAAAATGAAATAACTCTGATAGATCCATGATAAAATTATAGGAAGAAATAATAAATATATTAAAAAAAACATAAACATTTATATATTTATTATCATTATTACTAAGGATGCACAATGCTATGATAAAGCCAGTTCTAATATATGGCTGTGAAATCTGGACACTAACCAACGCATAGAAAAAACTATTCAGAGATTTGAGAGGAATAACCCTCCGCACGACAACAAGAGCGATCTGGGATCAGATTACTGACACATGGAGAAGAAAGACCAATAAACAACTACTTTCAGGAACTGATCAATCTATATTCCATGATATGAAGGAACAGAGGTTAAGATGGCATGTAGCTCGTAGCAATCTTACTGGAAGCCTCAAAATAGTAATAAATACCTGAATAGAAGGCAAAAGACCACGTGGAAGGCCAAAATGCAGATGGGTAGACAGAATCAACAAAGATGCAATTGAGCTGCGTGCAGATAAATGGTCCAAGATATACAGCGATGAAGCAGGCTTCCTAAGGCGGCAAAAAATCAACATACTCTGTTATGCCAAAAAAAACCGAGGGCTTTGCGATTTTCGCTCAGCATACACATACACAGCTTTCGACTCATATATTAGGAAACGTAAAATGTTGTATAGAACAAGAGAAAGATTTTTCTTGTGCATAAGTATAGCCTTATTTAGTATTATACATTTTTAACATCATTGAATACCTCTTAAAAGTGAGGTCCATTGTTGTTAACTACTTTCATCCATCTTTCTGCCGTGGGTTCAGAATTTTAAGACGACGAACCAGTGTGGTAATAGACGCCGATAAATGACCGGTAGTTGCATGTGGGTTATGATTAAAACATTCAAGAAGAACTTCATTCAAGAACAGGCGAACTATTTCCACCCTGAAACTGTTTAACCATCTACGCAGTCTCCTTCCATTCTGAACCTGTCAACTTCAGGTTTCATATCTTGTCTTCCCCCACTTCGACTATGGCTGCATGGTGTATGGTGGACTCTTAGGAAAACTCGAAGCCAAACTTAAACGTCTAATGAGTTGCTCAATACGCTTTATCTTCGAGATTTTAAGGGATAAGCATATTACTCAGTTTTACACCGAGTTGAAGTGGCTTTATCCGTCCTACCGCCGTCAGTATTTCCTCGCTACCTTCCTATACCTTCCTATTAAAACTCAGTGACCATCCTATATTTTACAGATCCTACAATTCAAATCATCCATTCAATCTCGTCTCACCAGATCCCGTGTTTCCGACCTTTATTCTCCTCCTCACCTAACTGCTGCGTTTGACAAATCCTTTTTAACTCAACCCGTCTTCTTCTGGAATTCTATCCCTCCTGATATTCGAATAATTAATAATATACTAATAATTAGTTTTATTTTTATTTTTTTCTTATTCCAATGTACAACAATTATATCCATTATACAAGGATAGGAACAGTGAGGGATTAGTCATCCTACGTGGTAGACGTTTTTAATTGTCTCCATTTAAAGCATGTAGGTAAAAATAAATTATTTTTATATTACTAGTTTAACTGATAGGACTTGGTACTAAAGAAAAGAAATTAATGTACCAGAACTAGTGACGGTAGACATGAAATAAAATAGCTTCTCATAATTCACCTGAATTGAGGAAAGAAGACGTTGTTATATATAACCCATAATATGTTATACAATACATTTCCTTCTATACTATCTATTCATTACAGACATGAGGAAAACCCTGAAGATTTGTCGGATAAACCAAATGTATTAATACCCAAAGGATGTACTCGGTAAATTGGCGTTTAAGAGAAGAAAATTTTGCCTTTATGAAAATATCGGTAGTATATTATATAAATGTTTCTTGTTGTAACCGGAATGAAAATAACATTTTTGTTCTTTAATAATGTAACTACGTTTAGTAACGATAATATCAGGTTGCCTCATAAGTTCATTCCTTTTCTTTAATTTGTTGTTTAACGTTGAGTTCTTTTCCATTACCTTCTTATACCTTTCTATTAGCCTCTTATACCTTTTTTCCAAAATTGTTGAGACTTTTGAATTTAAATTGAATTGAATTTTTTGAGATTTAAAAAAAAAATTGACAGTAAAAAATCAAGGTCTTTGTGAAAATTCGTATTTGAGAGTTAGTCGGGGTGCTAAATACAAATCTCAACTCGGTTTCTCCTAGAAAAAATGTTTGAGATATCTGAAAATAAAAATTATTCTATTTCTTCATTAACTTCTTCCACCAAACTTAAGGGGTGATTTGATTATTTTTCTTCACGTCTCCGTGGAATACACTTTGATTTGATACCTCATTCGTCAAAATCCATGATTGTAAAATTTTTTGTGATTTTTGAGAAAGAAAAATTCCGAGACTTATTTATAAACTTGGTGAAAAGTCGAAGGAAAAGAGTTCCATTTTTTTAATGCTATGAAAATTGGTATTTTAGAGTTCGTCGAGATGCTCAATACGAATCTCAACTCATTGTTTCTCCTTAAAAAAATATTTGAGATATCTGCAAATATAAATTTTTCTATTTCTTTCATAACTTCTGCCACTAAACTTACGAGGGGATACAACTATGGTTTTTCATGTCTCCATCGAATACCTTTTGATTTGATACCTCATTCGTAAAAATCCATTGTTATCAAATTTTTTTGTGATTTTTGAAAAAAAAAAATCGAGGCTTATTTATAGCCTTGATAAAAAATTAAAGGAAAAAAGTTCTATTTTTCGATTGATGAAAATTCGTATTTGAAGGTTCGTCGGCATGCTGAGTACGAATCTCAACTCTGTTTCTCCTTAAAAAAATGTTTGAGAAATCTGTAAATAAAAATTATTCTATTTCTTTCATAACTTCTTCCACTAAACTTGAGGGGTGTTGTGACTATTGTTCTTCATGTGTCCATCGAATACCCTTTGATTTGATACCTCATTCGTAAAAATGCATTGTTATCAATTTTATTGTGATTTTTCAAAAAAAAAAATCAAGACTACAGCTTTGGTGAAAATTCGAAGGAAAAAAGTTCTATTTTTCGATTGCTATGAAAATTCGCATTTGAGAGTTCTTCGGGGTGCTAAATACGAATCTCAACTCGGTTTCTCCTTAAAACAATGTTTGAGATATCTGCAAATAAAAATTATTCTATTTCTTTTATGACTGCTTCCACTAAACTTTCGAGAGGTAGTAACTATTGTTCTTCACGTCTCCATCGAATACCCTTTTATTTGATACCTCGTTTGTCAAAATCTATGGTTATTAATTTTTGACATTATTGAACAAAGAAAAATGTAAGATGGAAAAATATATGTGACAAGTTGTGTTGACCAAGACTCGTCTTGGTCTTGAGCACTCAGTCTTGAAAATCTCGCAACAGACTTGCAGTTACTCTTTAGCCTGTTATTACTTTTTATATTTTAACAGCTGAACCAATACCTTGCTGTTATTACTTTTGTTATCTTATTATATTATTGCTTTATTTATTTATTTTTATTTATCCAGGTTAAATTTTTTGTTTCTCTGTGTCCTAATATGAGTATGTATGTATATATAGTTCTCATTTTTTCTATTACACTACAAATAATCCTGAGATTTTATTTCTCTTAGTGTTGGCACATTATTATATAAATCACAGTAGATTTTATTACATTCTGTATTAAGTTTTTTTTTTTTGATTAGTTAGACAATTGTTTATAAATTGTGTATATATAAATAATTTGTATTTTTACATCAAAACAATAAATAATTTTGAGAAGATCTCAAGTTCATTTAATTTTTTTTCTGTTGTTCTTTTTAGTGGTTACATACTATTTTTTAAATAATGTATATAATATTAGAATTTCCATAAGTTAGTTTTTAGCCAGATTTGTATTTTCTTTTATATTAATTCATCGTTGTTATTCTAAGTGGACTTATTTCCAAAATTAAGTTCAATTTTCTATTATATTCCATTCTATTATAGAGATATTACTATAATTATTCAAATAAAGGAAACCTCGAATGAAAAAGTAAAATTGTTAAATGCAAAGGTATATTGGTTATACCAGTTCTATACATATAGTAATTAAAATTATCAAGTATTAGTAACTATATTGTCTTAATTTTTATTCAAAAATACGATTTTTTTTTTACCAGTCTTGGTCTTGGCCTAGCAACATTCAGGCTGTCTTGTTTTTAGACCGATTTTGGGCAACACTAGTGACAAGTGCGAATGAAGACATGGTGTGATCTCAGAAACATTACGAGATTTAAAACATTCGTATTTACGTTTAATCAAATACAAGCTCCTATAGAGAAAGCCTTTTCCTAACCTAGAAACCTTGAAAAGACCCGAAGAGGTGGACATTGAGTGAAGGGTATACAGACGCTGGTATATATATATCCAGGGAGGGCCAGATTGGGCACATTCAAACTTCAACATGTACAAGCTCGTGAGTTCTACCTTTTATCATATACTAACAAATAATAATAATAGTAATGAATATATAACTTAATTATGTAATATATTTTCAGCTGATCCTCTCCGCTCTCGTAGCCGTGGCTTTCGCCGCCTCCTACGAAAAACACGAGTCTCACGAACACGCATACTCGACCCAGAACCAAGTCAACTACGTCAAGCATTCTGTTCCAGTCGAGATCAAAGTCAAGTCAGCTCCAGTAGTCCACCATGTTCCAGTCGTCTCCCACGTTCCAGTAGTACATCATGTTCCAGTGGTACATCATGTCGAAGCTCCAGTGTACCATCACTAAATTTCAACTTCCATCATAAAATACCCGTCATCTTTCCCGAACATCATCCATCAAAATTTATTTATGTATTTATTATATTTGGTATATCAACAAATAAATTCTTAATTCCTTAAATTATATTTTTTGACTTCATAACCTTTCCAAGTAAATTTTAGAAGAAAAATCTTATTTGTCAAATGTTAGTGAGATTAAAATTTCACCAATATATTATGCAGGAAACTTCAGATTTATCTACTATTTGATTTTCAAAAATAAATTTCCATACATTTTTAAAAATCTCATTATGCGACCTTATCTGTTAGATATTCAATTTTTTTTATATGCTTTAGCTTTTCAACCGAATATGATTACTACTTATACTTCCGGATATATATTTTTTTAAATTGCAAACATATTTCTTTTAATTTTTCCTTTCATTATATATCAAGATCGTTCATAATTTACATTTAGCTATTATTAATTACTAGTTACAATGTTAAATGATTAATTATTTTTAATACACAAATATTCAAAGTACTTTAAAGAGAAAAAAATCGATAAATCGTCATTAAGCTCTGCATGGGTATTTTAATGAGGTTAATCTATATGAAATTAAATAAAATTTAATTTTACACCGATATGAGAAGTTTAATTGACAATGTTGGATTCGTTTTCGAAATAACTGTTAAAATCTGAAAAATCAATAATACCATCTCTGTGAAATAGCTTTTCATACAAACCATGAATACGTAATTTCTGTTTCGTTTTTGAGCTTGGTTATTTACGTAAATTCTTCGATTTTATTTGTCATAGTGAGATTAAAATTTCGTTAATATATTATTCAGTAAACTATGAATATATCAATTATTTATTATCAATGGCATAAAAACTAAATGGCACTTCTAGTAATACACCAAGTACCAATGGTACATGACATTGAAGAACTATCGAACCATTACTAAATTCCTCCTGGAAACCTGGCAATTCCTATCATCGAAAAAACATTTAAAAGAAACATCTAAGAATGCTTTAGACCACATGATGGAAGTAAAAACATTAAGAAGGCTAGATTAATAATATGAATTATAAATAGTAGCTCATTATAAAGAGGATGGAATAATGAACATTTCACTCGCAAATAGTACGCAGGTCCGGTTTTTAGTTTCTGAGATATTTTAAACCTTATTTTCCATAAAACTCGTTATAATTTGGTTTTCGACAATAGTTTTTCTCTTTTCGCCACACTAATACGGTGCACAGAGGGACGAGTGAGAGAAAACTCGCGACAATGTCTAAATCATTTTTTTTTTCAATTGAACTATTCAATTGTAACAGTGTAAAAATGTGTATTTAAAATCTGAAAAATCAATAATATGAAGTACCATCTCTGTATAATCGGTTTTATTGAAAAAGGTTCTGAAACATTCCAGGCTTATACAAATCACGAATACGTAATTTCTTTTTCGTATTTTTCATTTTTGAGAATGGTTATTTACGTACATTCTTTAAAACTCACTAATTATTTTGCGAGCTTTGGTTATTTGGATAGAGAGAATCACAAAAAGTGTATTTCAGTTGAAAATTCCTACTTTTTTTTTTTAAGTTTTAGCTTTTCAACCGAATATAATTACTACTCATACTTCCGGATATTTGTTTCAAATTGCAAGCATATTTCTTCTATTTTATCCTTTCATCATATATCAAGCTCTTTCATAATTCATATTTGACTACTGTTAATTACTAGTTACAATGTTAAATGTTTTATTAATTCTGCTAATTAGTTATTGTATGCGCCTATGTAAATGGTGACCTTCTTATTTCATTAAAAATAAAAAATAAATTAAATAATAAATAAGCTGCATGAATGAATCAAATATTTAAACTAAAATTGATTTGAAAAAGTCGATTAGGCTCGCGGACTGCATTGAAACCTCCACTTCAATGTTCTGCGGGCCATAGGAAAAGTCTTGTTCTATAAATAACTTTACAGTTGTGAAAAGAGCTTTTTAGTTATTTTTTATTTATTTTTATTATTGAAGTTTACAACTGTACAATGATAAATACAACTAGTAAATATGAAATAAGTAACTTGACATGTACAACATGAGGAGAAACTACCAATTGGTAGCTCTCCGATTATATTTATATATTAGAAGGTCCCGAGACCATCTTCTTTTCAGACGCCTCGGAGGGTTATCAGGAATAGAAGAAGAAGCAAGGTTGGAAACAAGAGGGTTTGGATGGTTCAGAAGTTTAATATGGAAGGACAGGTATCTGGATTGAGCTAAATTGGAAACATGTGGTACATTAAGGTCGTTATGGATGATTTTATTTGTGACAAAGTAGGGAGCATTGAGGATTTTACGAAGGATTTTGGATTTTAGCTTTTTAATAAACAAAAAAAAACATGCAATCAATTTCGTGGTAACCTCGTGTGTAAGTAATTAGCTAAATTTCATATTTTTTTTTTTAAGTTTTTAAAATTTTACTTTCGCGGGCCGGACTGGAGGTGCTTTCCGGTCATAGTTTGGAGACCCCTGATCTAAAAAAATATGTATTTAATAGTATATATATATATTTTTTCTATCTATCACTGCCCATCTAAATCGAAAGTCTGCACCTATATGAATGGTAATTTGAAATTTTGAATTTCTTCCAGGAGAGGTCACTTAATTTAGTGTCAGATTAGACTAGTAGTTTCTGAGAAAAGAAGTATTTGAATTGTTAGCAAGGGAAATTTTCTTCATTTCATCCTCTTTGTAATGAGCTATTATTCAAAATTGCATGTTAACGTGGCGACGAACAGCAGAACGACTAAGTGAAAATTCGCAACATATTTTTTATTTTTTTATTATGAATCTATTTTTTTTTTTTTTTTTTACTTCAAAAACTAGATAAACTGTTTTATTGATACTTTGTGTCGTTCGTGGATTTTCCGAGAATATTTTCAATTGGTACAATATACATGTATGTACAATAATTTTCACTGTTATTATTGAATAGTCCAATTGAAAAAAAATAATGATTTAGCCATTGTCGCGAGCTTTCCCTCACTCGTCCCTCTGTGCGCCATGTTAGTGAGGCGTAAAGGGAAAAACTAGTGTCGAAAACCAAATGATAACGAGTTTTATTGAAGATATGGATAAAAATATCTCAGAAAATAAAAATCGGACCTGCATAATGTTTGCGAGTGAAATGTTCATTAGTTCATCCTCTTTATAATGACCTATTATTTATAATTTATATTTCATATTATTAATCTAGCCTTCTTTATGTTTACACTTATATCGTGTGGTCTTATGTACACTCAGTTTTTTTTTTTTTTTTTTTTTCTATGATAGGAATTTCCAGGTTAGTGGAGGAATTCAGTAATGATTCGATAGTTCTTCAATGTGATGTACCTGGATGGTACCTGCTGTATTATTAGAAGTGCCATTTAGTTTTTATGCCATTGATAATAAATAAATGATATATTCATAGTTCTTTTACTAATATATTAACGAAATTTTAATCTCACTATGACAAATAAAATCGAAGAATTTACGTAAATACCCAAGCTCAAAAACGAAACAGAAATTACGTATTCATGGTTTGTATGAAAAGCTATTTCACAGAGATGGTATTATTGATTTTTCAGATTTTAACAGTTATTTTGAAAACGAATCCACCATTTTCAATTAAACTTCTCATATCGGTGTAAAATTAAATTATATTTTATTTCATACAGGTTAACCTCATTAAAATAGCTAGACAGGGCTTAAATGACAATTTATCAATTTTTTTTCCTTTAATGTACTTTAAATATGTGTGTATTAAAAATAATTAATCGTTTAACGTTGTAGCTAGTAATTAACAATAGTTAAATGTAAGTTATGAACGATCTTGATATATAATGAAAGGAGAAAATAGAAGAAATATGCTTGCAATTTGAAAACAAATATCCGGAAGTATAATTAGAAATTATATTCGGTTGAAAAGCTAAAACATAAAAAATACAAGAACAAAAAAAACAGGTGAGGTCTTAGAATGAGATTTTTAAAAATGTATTGAAATTTAGTTTTGATAATTAAATAGTAGATAAATCCAAAGTTTCCTGCATAATATACTAGTGAAATTTTAATCTCACATAATAGCATTAGACAAAGAAGACTTTTCTTCTGCAATTTACTTTGAAGGATTATAAAGTCAAATAGCATAATTTAGGAAATTAATAATTTATTTATTGATATGCCAAAAATAATAAATATATAAATAAATTTTGATGGATGATGTTCGGAAATGATGTTTATGTTGGAAGTTGAAATTTAATGGTGGTACACTGGAGCTTCGACATGATGTACCACTGGAACATGATGTACCACTGGAACGTGAGATACGACTGGGACATGGTGGACTACTGGAGCTGACTTGACTTTGATCTCGACTGGAACAGAATGCTTGACGTAGTTGACTTGGTTCTGGGTCGAGTAAGCGTGTTCGTGAGACTCGTGTTTTTCGTAGGAGGCGGCGAAAGCCACGGCTACGAGAGCAGAGAGGATCAGCTGAAAATATATTATATAATTAAGTTATATATTTATTATTATTTTTATTAGTTGTTAGTATATGATAGTAGGTAGAACTCACGAGCTTGTACATGTTGGAGTTTGAATGGGCCCAAACTGGCTCCCGTCCGGATATTTATATATTCCTCAATCACCATTCACTTCTTAGGGACCTTCAAAGTATTTGGAGGAACAAGGTCAGGGATTAAAGGGGGTACGATTCTGTTACTAATGGTTACCAATGAAGATCGGATTCTCTTGTAAATTTATAATGATATGTTTATATGTATACTGTACATAAAATATTTTAGTGCACATAGAATTATTAAAAAATCATTTTATTATAATTATAGCTATGTAATAAAGTAAAAATAAAATATAATCCGTATTTTTAGAATTAATAATGCATACATGTATAAACTCATTTTATAGTACTTTAATACTCCTTCAAAACGGATACTCATCTGCAACGGACAATTCATTTAGGCTCATGGCAATCGGTTCTAGGGATTTTTTGCAAAATTGTACAAAAATAAAAGACTACTACTGGTCTAAAAATTTGAAACAATAAATAAAATTTTAAAAAGAAAGAAAAAAAGTAAAGAAAATCTTAAGTGAATAAGCTATATTCAAAACAGATAAAACTATGTACAAAACACTTAATAATATTAACAAATCACTTAGAATTATGAATGAAACATTTAAAATTATATATAATGGTAGAACAGCATAAATATACACTTAAAGAAATGAAGAAAGAAAGAGAGACAAAATAAAATAAATTCTTCTCATAAAAAAGCTCTTCGCTTTTACTTAGAAAAATAAAAGTTGCATCTGTATTTATTTAAATGCTAGATAAAATATAAATAAATTATAAATAGATTGTTATCATCAGTTATGGGAGATAATGTGTTGGCGTTTAATTTTATATAAGAAAAAAATATAAGTTATAATATAATTTAAAAAAATATTAGAAAAAATAAATGTATTACGTGGCGTCGAAAGTAGGAAATAAGTGTAATATACCTAGCAAAGAACAGTATTGTCGGATGATTATATGATTGATTAAACATACATATATAATGTCAATAGTTAGCAGGTATCTAACTGTTTTTAGAACAGGATATTTTTGAATTTATTTTAATTAATGCTTTGATTCATTCCAACTTCTTGACGACTTTACTTTCTGGCAATTCTGTCCATTTTCATGTCCATTATATAACATGATTATATAATCCATCTAACCATATTTTTATATAATTATTCTATTTAAATGTTCATATAATATGTAACCAATACGTTCTTTTGACATGTTCATAACCTCTGCTATTTCTCACTTTAATTCGGTGGTCGTCTGGCACCATTTGGCGATGTTTTCGTCGATAGTTGCAGTTTTTGGACGTCCAGAACGTTCGTCGTCTCCCAAGCACTAATGTCCACTTTCAAATTTAGCTGCCCAAAATTTCACTGTCAGAGTCTCCATACATCGAATCCAACTCATCTTTGATTTTCGTAGGTGTATTGCCTTTTAAAAACAAATATTTAATGACATCTCTATACTATATTTTGTCCATTTTCACAAAAACACTCACATCAACTAACTTAAACGACTGTTACATAAAAACTGTGTATTCAAAATGGCTGAAACAATGCTGGGTAACTGTCAACAGATCAACAACGGAATTCACTTGTTTTTATTTACGAGTGCTGTCATCTTCACTTTGCGGTCGGAAACATTTTAGACCACGCGTATGTACCCTTAAAAAAATTTGAAAATTTAATGAAAACATACATATTGAATATTTAACAGTTGACCGTTGCATTATAAAGGAAGGAGATGGTTCCGGGGTTGCGGTCATAAATAGGCTAAATAGTGGTAAAACTATTTTATTAAAAGTCAACGTTTCGACCCGACTTTGCAGGTCTTCTTCAGGGATATCATTCAGTTCTAAGAACCTCCTAGCTGAACACACCTCCCTGAAGAAGACCTGTAAAATCGGGTCGAAACGTTGGCTTTTAATTAAATAGTTTTACCACTATTTAGCATATTTATGACCGCCACCCCGGACCATCTCCTTCTTTGAAAACATAAATATTTTTTTATTTATCGCGTCCTATTCAACTAAAATCTTGACTTACTTAAAAACACAAAGTTCAATCTACTACTTTACTGCCGAAAACATAACTAATGTTTTTATAAACTTGTTTGTAACTCCTGAAATCTGCTATCGTCCCTATAAATATTTGCCTTTTCTTACCGGACCGGACCCCTTTTTTATCACACTGAGGAATTCCACCAACGTTTTTTTTCCATTTCTGATCCTCATTCATCAACTTTCTGTGTTCTTTTGTCAGTACACATTTTATGAAATGTAATTTAATTTTATTTATTTCTTAAAGTAATAACCTAATATATATATATATATATATATATATATATATATATATATATATATATATATATATATATATATATATATATATATTTGCTTTCGCATCCAGAACTGTTCCCTAGCGTTGCAGACTTGCCCCTTGAAGAGCATCGAGGACAGTGCAGTATGTTGAAGAGCTCCCATCGTTATTGTTACAATAATGCTGTCGCGGACTCAATAGCCAATTATTATCGAATTATTGGAAATCGTTAAGCGTTAGCGCGGTATTATAGAGGGTAAATTGCAAATTGTCTCCGAAACATAATGTGTTGATGGCAGGCTTCAAATACAACAGAAAAGTTGATTTGATTTTTAGTCCTATTCCGAATCGAGAATAAATTAATTAAATATTTCTATTTTTCTAAAACAATCACCATTTTATAATTTAAAATATTAATTTAAATTTCTAGTTCAACGTAGTATCATAAAAGCAGAATGTAAGAAATTGGGGAGATTTTTTAATGTTTTATATTTATTATAAAATTTATTATTCCGAGGAATATATTTTTTAACCATTATTTACTTCATAAAAATGTTATTTCATTTTTCTATTTTGACGTCGTTTCGGGCGAAATTGCACTAAACGTCGTAAAAATACATCCTCAAGTGAAAAATACCTTTATAATATAAATAATATTATAAATATACATATAAAATTATATATTAATAATAAAACAAAAATCTATAAATGTCATAATTGATGAATTAGAATTTTACTTATTTTACTTATATAATCCACTAAAGTTTTTGCATTTTATCTCAAAAATTCAAAAAATATTTTTAAAAAAATTAAAAATGTCATATTTCAAAAATCCAAAATTCTTTTTAACATTTTTTTTAATCTTATTTATTGATAAATATTACAATCTGTCTCAAGGACATTTATAATAGTGTTCACAGATCACATTCACATTCTATGTACAGTAAATAAAATAAATTATACAGGAAAATAATATATATACAATAAATAAGAATAAAATAACCTAAAAGTAAATGAATAAAAAGAACACATACATACCTATATACAATTTTTAACATTAAAAAAAAAATCTAAAAGGAACAAAAATTCAAAAGAAAAATATATAAGGAAAAAAAATATATTATACAAAATATTAAAAACTTATTTATTATGTAATTTACCTTAGGATACTAAAAAAAAATTGTATAAAAACTATTCATATCCTAAAAACATTATCATCTCTTCATTCATGAAAAAATCCGAATCTTCGGTGCATGCTGAGAGCTTACATATCAATCCTTTGCTCATAAGGATTAAGGATAGTGTAATTAAAATGATTTCAATTTTCCCTTTATAATAATAGTTTAGTTAAAATAATAATAATAAATATATAAATAATAAATAATAATAAATACAAATAATAAACTTTACTTTAGTGTTGCCCAAAATCGGTCTTAGTCTTGCACTTTGCAGGACCAAGATCAAGGCCGCCTAACCGTTGCAAGACCAAGACTGGTAAAAAAAATCAATTTTTTAAATAAAAATTAAGGTAAAATAGTTACTAATACTTGACAATTTTAGTTACAATATGTAAAGAATTGGTATAATCAACATACTTTTTCTCTTCTAATTTTTCATTCAGGCTTAGTTAGGTTTCTTCTATTTAAAAAATTTCAGTAATATCACTATAGTAATGAGCTAATAGGTAACTGCAAGACCAAGACCAAAATCAAGACTCGCGTTTGGGCAACACTGTCTATAATATACTTTAATAATATTCCACTTATTGCTGATAAACAAATTCGCTACATATAACTCTGCCAGGATAATTTCAGACCCAAAGCTACTAGCTTCCACTTCGAATCCTATTAACACAAATGTCCTCTCCTTTGAGAAATTTTCCTGATTTTTATATTTCTATTTGCACTGAATTCGAATCTGAAGTCCGTAAAATTTTATCAGGCACCGTTTTAAAGAAAATTAAGGTTGTTTTTGAAAAAACTGAATTACCATATTTTTTACGTCAATTATTTATTTATTTTCTTGTTAACAATAATAATATAACACATTTAATCGTTAACATAATATAACTTTATGCCTAGTCAATGTGTATATATTTCCTCTTAAAGTGTTTATTAGCTGCATCTCATTGCATATTCATCAGTAGCCAGCACAACCATCTTCTCATTGCTCTTGCCGCATTACCTCTTCTCCATTTGGACTATATCTTAAACTGTTTTCCGTGTTCGTTTGAAACCGCTCCCAAGCGGAAAGGAGAGAAATTCAAATGAGAGTGCAAAAAATGAATTTTTAATGACAAATTGTATGTAACCAATGACCTTATTTGATAAAAGCATTTTTTTTTTGTAGTTTTTTTATTGCCCGAAAATTGTTGACAAACTTTTTCAAAAGTAGACCGAGCTCCTCTTTTTTCGTTTTCGTTACATTTTTCTTTGAATTCCTGGTCCTTAAATAGAGCGCGAATATGTGGTCAAAACAATTTATTCTTTTTCTGCCTATATTTACTTGTTATATTTTATTTGAATACAGTTGCAAATTTCAAGGAATATAAAAAAATAATTGTCCCTGATATAAGATAACTATTTATTGAAACGGTCAAGTGAATGTTGAACGAGTAATTAGTGATCTAGGACAACTTAGCAACAAATTAGACTTAGAAGGCTGTCAATCCATCAATAAAACTTAATTGCGAGG